ACATTGTCATGTAAGATCCGGAAGAAGGTGAATGTATGACCGAGCGCATTTGAGCCGAGATAGAGCCAGCAGTACGCACCCGCATGATATCAACAACCCAGCCACCAAGAATTCCACCGAGAAGGCCATCTCCTGATACTTTGCCAAGCGCATATCAAGAAGGCTCGGTTGTGGGTCGCATATGGAACTGGCTGTTTCTATTCCAGTCACGCGCTTCGGAGAGATGCGTTGTAGAAATAAATCATACGCGTCACTAAATCAATGTGTTACAAGCTGCTGGGATAACGGCAACAGATATACATAGAACGCGGGATCACACCGTCCTTCGATGTGTATGTTGTTGTGGCTTCTCCATCGAGAATATCGAAGAGGCTGGGCCTAGATGGCTGGTAAGCCGAGGCGGCCAATTCGCACAGTAGGGTGGTAGCTTGATGCAGTGCATCGGGAGCTAGCGCTGACTGACATCATGGAAAACAGCGGTTACCGTGACGCTGCATCCATCAGCCCATGTCGAATCCTTTCCACAAGTGTCCGCTCGAATCAGTGCCGCCGCAAGGCCTGGTGAGAACAGGGAAAGGACGGGAGACCGGCCGGACCTTGTTGCAGCTCGATGATATCGACTGGGATGGCACGGATCACTCCGTCTCATGATTAAAGCCGGCAGAAGGAGAGTACTCATTGAGCCAATGAGCACAAAGCTGTCGCCTGTCAGAAATGCCGCTTATGCAGTAACGTTCGCAAGTGAAGGCTCGGCTGGAGAAATAGCGATTTCAAAGCAGGACGAGAAGGTCTAGTCCTTCACTCCCAAATTGCGAAACTTGTGGCACTGCGGCATCTTGGGCGCGTACTCGTGTTCGGCACAATGCTTGCCTGGAGCCCACTCATGATATACCCCGGGAAACAGATGTCGGATAGACACCCAAGCTGCACCACGACCCTCAAGGGATGCGGGAAGCAAGGTCGAGGGGGCCTGGAGATCTTCCAACCGGGTGGGTGACTGGAGCTCGCATCACCAGCATCAAGATCTTATCGCACAATCTGATAGACATTCCTGCATCGCTTCTTTGGATGTGACTGATATCTGCCGATAGAGTTGCAATAAGCAAATGCAGGCCTAGGCCCATCAGAGCTGCCTAGCCTATTCCACACGACAGCTGCCGCGAGCGGAGAAAACTTGATAATGTCAAAATGCTCGATGTGATGGGGCTCACCTGCCGATCGCTCCCCGGTCAGTCAATAAGCAGAGAACCTTCGGTAGATGAACCATCGGGGCCTGCGACCGCACTGCGCATATCATGGTAGCTTTATGTGACGTTATTTCCACGCGCGAAATCACGAATCGGGGGTATGCGGTAGTGGTAGCGGTGGTGTGCAGCATGATCCAGTGTGCAATGCTGGTGGTGAGCGAGAGACTTGCGGGACGAGTCGGATCCATGTACGGTAGCGTCGCGCACCTTGTCCCTTGTGATCGTCGACCGTTGATGCCCAGGCATGTATCCCTGCTTCCCGCGAGCGGACAACGGTGTGCAAAATGTGGTTGGCCAAAACGATGGCCTGTCAACCAAATAACCGTACGCGAAGGCAACAACCATGACGCCCTCGCGATATTGGGCGTAACAGAGCGTTCTTGTTTAACGGTTATCATGGAAGCGACACCACGAACGGAGTTGGAGGCTGTTGTAGAACCTGGCGGCGGGCGACGCGCGAGAATGTCGACGAGCCACCCCAGCTGACCTTGGCCGTCATGCACGTCGCCGTCAGCCGTGTTTGCACCACGTTGCGGAGACACACAGCTAATCATTACATATGGGTGGAGTGAGAAGAGCAACCCGATGTAACACGGCATCGTTTTCGCTGACAAGATCGACATGGCTATGTCCACATCTTGTGCAACTAGTGCAAGCGTGGCTAATCGTCAAAGCGTGAAGAGGCGCCGCCTGAGGGTGTTCAGGAGGAGTTCGGCTTGCACAAAGTTGGCAGTGAAGATTTTGAATTGCCAAATCCGCAGTGGATGCGCATGCTGACGGTGGGAGAGTGAATGCGCGCGCCCTTGTGCGTCGCGAGTTGGGCGGCGGAGGTAGTCACCAAGTGTTGTGTTGTATCGAAATGTAGCGGGCGGCGTCAGAATAGAGTTGATGGTCGCTCGGTACCTGACCTATCTCCCTTGTCGTGAACAAGGCCAGCAAGCGTGCTCCCAGGGTTTCTCCGCACTGCGAACGCCTCGCTCGGAACTTTTACAAGCCCAGGTCCCATGCCACGATCATCGTGACAGGGAGGGTAATGCTCACAACATGGAACGGCGCGCTGTTTCCAACGCGATCTTCTCGAAGCCTGGCAGCGAGACATGCCGAACAGAACAAGAATATTTGTGTTGGTCGCGTCTCGTGTTTCAGTGCGCATGTGATACGTGAGGACAAGCGCGCAGAAGCAGGCTTGAGACGTCCGAGAAGGGCACGGCATTACAGCATTGAATTGACGCCGGAAGCGATGGAGCAAATGCACCGAGACGGCTGCAGGCGTGTATTGCTATCGCGATGGGCTAAGCGGCTATTCGCCCGGATGTTGTAGCGGAGTTTATCGACGCGTGTTGCTCGCGTTGAGCATGAGGGCAATTTCACTGGGAATAGCCACAGCAGCAATTGGATGGCAGGGCTGACTGGCGCATTGAAGGCGGTCCTGCCACGATGCGGCCCCTGAAGCAGCAGTTTGCTCGGTGGCATGGCTCCGCAGAGGTTGCGAACCCGACGTCCCAGGGCCGATCAGCGGCGATTTGAGCAGGCAGCCCATGACCCGTTTCCCGAGAAGCATCTCCGTGTGGCAGCATCAGGCATGGCGGTGCCGATCAGGCCTCGATGGCGATTGGAGGCTGCGGGCGTGCATCGGCCAGTCACAGCGGGCGACGTTGGGGGCACAAAGAGACATGCTGGTGAGCCGTTTTGGGCGTCTGCTCACCGGCGCCACGGGCCAATGGCGTGCAAGACGGCGGGGCGCTGGGCTGGGTGGTGCAACTGCTAAAACGGTCGACTAGCGGCGGTGAATTGGACTCGAAGGACGCGTCAGAGCAGCGGCGGGCGGAGCACTGTGTGCCCTGGGCGAGATGAAATGGCAGAAGCAGCAGGTGGCATCGTGTGCGAGCTATAGCAGGCCGGATTAAGACGCCAGGTGTGCCATGGGTGCGAGGGAGGTACCGCGGGGTCGCGACTGCCATGTCGAGGATTTAGCCGAGCGAGGCAGGGGCGACGAGCATGCGACGGGCAGGCGCGATGGGCAGGCGATGACGGCAGCTGCTATCAGTCTCACGTCGCGAAGGAACCGCTAGCTCGTCCTCGAGCTGTCTTTTGCGCTGGCTCTGGCTCGACTCTTGCTCTGGGCAGCAAAGCCCCACCCGCCGAAACCTGACCGTCACGTGCTCCACCGGACGCGACAGCGGGCAGCAAGAAGAGTCTAAGACGACGCGCCTTTTCCATCAAACAGCAGCTCCATCCTCGCAGTAGCAGCACCCACCCTCCGCGACGACATCGCCATCGACCAGGGCTATTCCGCCGGCGATCCCTGATCCCGGCCCCTTCGCATCCGCGGCTTGGGCGCTCGAAACAGCTGCTCCGTCCGAGCGTGCAGCAGAGCAGGGAGGTGGCTGTTCCAGGTTGATTTAACGACCGACTCCACCCTCGGCCCTCCCACCGCCTTTGCAGACTCTCCTCGCTGCCTTTCCCTAGACGTCGCTAGCGCCACCTGCTCTGCGCGTGAAATTGCGCAGGCCACGCTACTGCATCGCTCCCCAACCCTCGTCCACCGCTGCGCCCGGACCCTCGCAGCCCGGATCCTTCGACGTCTACCACCGCGCAATAATAACAATGTCGCAGCCAAAAATCCCAGATAGGGCCCGCAAGTATAAGGAAGACCCGGCGCCTGTAGCGTCGCAAAAGATGGTGAGTTGCCTCTGCTTCCTTGCACCCCCTACCACGCACGCTCGACCACCTGCATCATCCCATACACTCGCTACCCTCCGCTCGCTCCCATCTTGATCGGCCCTGCCGCACCCTCGACCGTTGGAGTTTCGTCGTGCGCGTCGCAGAACCCTTCCCTAAACCCGTCACCGCCGCTGGTAGCTTCACCCTCGCGCTTTTTGCATGCTGCAGCAGCCACTGCACGTCGCGGCCACACACAACGAGTTACCCCAGCTCCGGCGCGTCTCTGCCTACATGGTATGCCCTTCCCGCCAAGCAGCCCTGCTACCCAAAACCCGCCTCCCCTGTCGCACTTGCCAAAGCTTTCCTTGTCTCCTCTGAAGCCAGTCCAAGCCTCTTGTCACGCAGCCTACCAGCAGCGGAATCCCTGCCATCCTAGCAGCCTTCCGCTCCCACCGCTGGTCCGCTCTGTGTTGTCAACGTTGCGAAGTCCCGCCCTGCTTTCTTTAGTCTGCCCTTCCCATCCTATAAACTATACCCTACCGTCCTGTCTTTTTCCAGACCCTGCCCCTCGCCTACCACGCTGCTGCTGCACATCCGTCGCTACACCCTAGCCGCCCAGCCAACCACAGCGACCCGCACCCCCACCTCTCACCTTGCTTGCACCCCCAGCCCCGATCACCACCACAGCACCTCAAGGCGACGCTTGCTTTTTATCTTTTGTTTGCCCCCAGCAGCCTTACTGACTGGCTGTCTTCTTAGCATCATCCCCACTCGGCTCAGGGCTTGCCACCGCCTAGTCACCTTCCTGTTCACCACCCTAGGCCTGGTGTAGTCCATCAACAACATCAACACCAGCACCATCCCGACTCTCCCCACCAGTCGGTGCCTTCTCAGAGTCCTGCACAGGGCCACTACCCCTCACCACAACACCCAAACCCCCAGGGCCCGCCGCAGCACCAATCGCCCTACATCCAGCAGATCCAAGGCCCCCCACCGCCGCAACAGCAGCAAGAGGTTCCCTACTACTCCCAGCACCACCAGAGCCCCTACAGCACCAACAGTGCGCCGAGTAACTACTCGTCCTCAGGTATGTTTTGTTTTTGTGTACACAAATCACCACGCCTTTGTCCATGCGCCCAGCGCATTAATGACGCCTCGACTTGGATGCCCCGGTCGTATATACCCCCGCGCAAAATGGAATTCTAACAATTCGCAGAAACCCCAGAGCTCATGGCGGCCGCAACAATGAACAGGGGCGGTTATCCTCCGATCTCATACCACACCCCGCAGTCAAACTCACCAGCATCTGTTCAGTCTCCACAGCACGACCAGCACGGCCGGCCAATCTATGGACAACCGCCCAGCCAGATGCCTCAATCAATGTACTACACGCCCTACGCTTCGGCGCCAGTTCCCCAACAGTCACCCTACCAGCAGCACCCTTCAAGCGCGCCACAGCAACCAATGGCGACGCAATCGCTGCTCATGTCCCACCAGCAAAACCAGCAGATGCAGCATCAGCAACAACAACAACATCAGCAGCATCATCCCCAAACTCCTGGAATGACGGGAAGCCCCAAGTCGCGCATGTCGCAGACGCCACTTCAACGGCCACCGTCAGGACTCGGCCCGCCTCAAGCTCCGCCTCAAGGCCCTCCCGTCGGCACCCCCAACATGCACGCTGGCCCTCCCGGAGGACCCAACGTCAACCCTAATGCCGCGCCTGGTCCCATTCCTGCCACCACTCCTCTTGTTGTGCGACAAGACCAGAATGGTGTGCAATGGATCGCGTTTGAGTACTCTCGCGACAGGGTCAAGATGGAGTACACCATCCGCTGCGATGTCGAGTCTATCAATGTCGACGAGCTGCCGCAAGACTTCAAGACCGAGAACTGTGTATACCCTCGCGCTTGCTGCGCCAAGGATCAATACAAGGGCAACCGTCTTCACTACGAGACTGAATGCAACACCGTCGGCTGGGCACTGGCGCAGTTGAACCCTTGCCTTCGCGGAAAGCGTGGTCTCATCCAGCGCGCCGTCGACAGCTGGAGGAACAGCAACCAAGACCCCCGACTAAGGAGCCGACGCGTGCGCAGAATGGCCAAGATGACCACAAGGAAAGCCCAATCGGCTAACCATGGTAACCACATGGCTGGACCAGGTGGACCAGGTGCTCCTGGCGTTCCCAACTCTGCCGGATTAGCAGCACCGCCCCGACAACCGAACATGGGCATGGGCGGCCCTCAGATGCACCATCACCATGATGGACCTGGAGGGCCCCACGGAGGACCAGATGACGTTAGCGGTATGTTTCACCAGATGTGATGTGATAAGGCGCAATTGTTGTTGGTTGTTAAATGATACCTCTGTCGTTCTTTCTCCATGTACATTACATACTCCTTGATGTAATACCCCTTCGATACCACTGCCCCATGCATGCTTGCATATATACCCACCCCATAGTTACACATGTTTTTGGTTCAGCAGCGCAGGACGGGAAGTAGAGACATGTTTGGACGTGCAAGCTAACTCTCTTTGTGTACAGCCAATGAATACGGGGAATCACACACTCACCATCACCAAGCGCCAAACGGTCAATCATCATCACCTACCGACGGGCGGCCCGCTCAGAGCTTCTACCCGAATTACCCATCGAGCGACTCCGTCGCAGGCTCCAGCGGCATGCCGCCGATCCACGACAGCCTGAGCCACCCTCCGCCTCCATCGCACGCAGCGGGTGTGCCCGTTTCAAAGCAGCAAGAGCAAGACGAAGAAGAGCGAAAGCTAGCCATGTTTGGCGACTTACCTGACTCGAAGCGCCGCAAATTCATCCTTGTAGATGATGCGCAACGAGGAACTAGGGTTCGCGTGCGAGTTACTCTCGACACGGTCAAGATGGAGGAAATGCCTGATTCTTACCGCAAGTCCAACTCGGTATTCCCTCGTAGCTATTTCGCCATGCAAATGACCTCTCCACCTGCCAGCCCTCGTGGCAGCAAGGTCTTTGCTGACGAGCCCGATGTTGAGAGCGACCCGAGCTTCCCTCTGGCTGGCTCTACTGTTGTGCCTGTTCCAACGCTGGATGGCGAGACTCGTGTGCCGAAGCCGCGTCTTACTCGTGCGAAGCGGTCGAAGGAGATTACGCTCAACGATCTTGGTTACCGCATGAGCTGGAGCCAGAGTCGTGTTTTCGCAGGAAGGACATTGTTTCTGCAAAAGTCTCGTAAGTCAATGGCTCGGTACGAAGAAGAACGTTTTACTAACCTTATCAACAGTTGATGCCTACCGCAACAAGATGAGAAGTAGCATGATGGGCCAAGGTCAAGATGTGACCCAAGTAGCCCCACATTTCGAGACTCGCGTTGGAAAGAGGCGGTGGAACGAGAGAATCGAGAAGAGCAAGAAGGCGAGGCGCGATGGCTCTCCTTAAGAAGTCTCAGGCCACATGCTCCAAACGGATGCCCTGGTTGCAGGCAGCCGCCCCGTTGACCCACTTTCTCGGCACTTGCAGGGAGCCCCTACGAACGACCGGGGTTGACAACCCTTTTCGACTCGGCACCAAATCCTTCGCGACAGGCCCGGCTGTTGCTTACACCCATGTTTCATCATGGCTGTATTGGGTTTCAGACTGGTCGTTCATCTGCCGATGGCTGCTTCTCTCTCTTTTCGATACTTCTCGGCCACTCACCACCGTCTTGATACCCGTCGGCAAGTTATGATCTCTTGCGACATACTCGGTCGGTTTTCGGTCTGTTCTTTCCTGTCTGTTTATAGCGTGTTGAGCGATCATCTCTTGTGCGAATGGACTTTGGCGTCTGCGGTAAAAAGAGACAAGGGAGCGTCTAAAAGCATGACTCAGGACGCTGTTTATGGCATGAGGAAGGCGTCTTGTCGGCTATGATTGCGTCTTCGGATATGTTTATATTGCGCATGTTTTTTGAGTATTCGGTAGATGGGCTAGTTGTTGCTACCCTGGACATATAATAGACATCTCAAAAACGAACATGCAGTTTGACATTAAGTGATTACTTGCGAGTGTTTACAGCCCGGCAAAAGTCCAGAGTAAATTGCCCTCCTCCAAACCTTGGAAGAGGCGTTTTGTGTATCATCGAGAGAGACCCGGAGGATGCATCCCAGATGCAGCCAGCTGACCAGTTCGCCCGCAATCCTTCAAAGCACCGAACGAGAAGAGAACCCACATGAACCGCTCAGTAGCCACTCACGATCACTTACAGCGGCACGGCACGCAAGCCTTTCCATGCATGCTCGACGTGATATTGTCCGAGACAAATAAATCACGTCGATAGTCGTTCGGTCGACCTACTCTCCCCTAGGGACATCCCTCCCCCATACGTTCGCAAAGCGGAAGGCGGACAGGTGACAGGCCGGGAGAGCCTGGTCTCGCGTGGCTGAATACCACTCATGTCTACGCGTTGCGTGCCTGGTGCCTGACTACCCAGCTCAGGCACACAAGGATGATTTGCTTTTCAGGGTGGGTAAGGTGTGGGTAGTAAGGGGCGAGGGGGGGCGCACCGCACGCAACAGGGCAGGGTATCAAAGAAGGCCAGGCACACGACTGCAACGCAATGCAATGTTGTGCGACGCGATGCGACCCGACGGTTGTTGGGGTGTGTGGGCAGAACAGGCTGATTGCGGTTTAGACACGATTGCCGGAACGGCTGGCCGTTGGAGACCGAAATTACCCATGCATGCATGTGGCATGTGGCACGCGAGACGAGGTACGCGCGGAAAGGACCCCAACCAACCCAACTGCTGCCAACCCCCCCGAAAGGTGTCGAAAACGGTAAAACCGTTACGAACCTAGGAGTAGTCGGAAATGGCCCCCTCCCTCCGTCTTCCACAAAGCAACGTAAGAAAAACTCTCCGAAGTTGCAGCGATGGTGCTTGGAGGGCATGTCACACAGGGCGGGATATGCCTAGTTGGCTTGTCAAAACTAAACCAGAGATGGGCTGACATATCGTTCGCTTTTCGCGCTGACGGCAGTTCCAAGGCTCTTGGTATACTCGTGTGTGAAACAGATGCTTTTCTCCGTCTGCGCACTCTACCTGCAACAATTCACTTTCTAATCGACGCCTTCGATCCCTTCTCGCAGTATCCCAGATCCAATACTCCACAACACCAATTCCACGCCTACGCAACCTCTATCAAAGACTCTCGTCATCATCCTATCCACTCACGGCCGCCCCGATTGCTAATACCAAGAAGAACCGAACTCCCAAGACCTTCTCCACTGCAAGTCTGCCAACTTAGAAAAGCGCGAACTAACTAATCCGAACCAACTATGTCGCTAAGCTAGCTAGACTAGCTAGCTACTCCACTTTCTCACAAAAAAAACTCCGGGCACCCAAAGCCAGCCAGTCACAAGTTGGTAACGCCCACTTTCCGGCACTAAAAAACAGCTAACTTAACGTTAACGTTAATCTTCGGCGCGACTTGCCAGACCGTTGAAAGTATAAGCACCGCCGACCGTTTTTTTGCTGCGTCGTTGATGCTCGTTTCCCCGTCTTGGCTCTCTCGTGTGCAGGATGGTTGATTGAGCTCGTCCTCTTTTCTCCTCAAAGTGTCCAGCGCCGTTGAGTGAATGAGGCTGACTGGCTGGTCGCGTGAGCTAATGAGCTAGTATTTTAACCATTGCGGGGCAAAAAAAAAAAAAGCTTTGCCTTTTACTATTGACAACTGCTTGGGAGGTTTACTACATACTACTGTAGATGAGACTTTTGGACGCGTCGAGATTCGGGTTCTAGGAAGTGGTTGCTGTCATGCGCTTAGGAGAGTGGGGTTGCAGGTGCGTGAACGGGGACCGAACTAGTGTGTCTGGCCGATTCGGTGGCTTTGATAAGCTGCAGCGCATCGTCATTTCCTTGTTTGCAGTCTGTGGTGATCTGGATGCTTTGACTGTGAGTAAGCAGTGGATGATGGGTTGGCTAGCTGGGGGGCTGTTCGTTTTGCCTTCTCGCAAGAGATATGGGTATGACATGCTCGATTGGCTAAAGTGTGATACCATTTGGGATTGTGTACCAGCTTCTTGTTACCACTAGCTAAACATGAACCGTACAGAGTTTCGATGAATGATAGAAGTGTAGCTAGTGCGAAGCATATCGCGACTTCATGCGAGTAAACGAAGATACGGATACTTCGATACATCCTGCCCTCCAAGAGATATCTCCACTTCCAGACGCTCTTGCGATATGGGTGTCCCATTTAAGGTACATCGTACAAGGCGTATCCCCATGGCTCCAGTCCCATGCTTCTCATTTCATAGTCTTTCTCGCGCGCCTCCCACTCTGCCCGGCCATACCCTGAGCATACTCCGGCATTTCAACTGCGGTCACTACACGTGCGCGACTGCCACCGTCTGTCCCTCTTGATCTCATAAGCCTTTCCTGCTCTTGCGTCAGTCTCAGTCTCTCTCGATCCGTCTCATGCACAATAACGCCGTCGATGACGCTGTACTTACTGATGTCCGGGTCATCGTCGTCGTTGTCGTCGTCGTCTTCCACTATGGGCCGAGCAGCGCGAGACTTGGCAAGATATCTGTCGCCATTGAAGCGAGACTCTGTCCATGAATTCAATCCAGCGCCGTGTTTTGGAGATGCGATTTCAGAGTCTGAAACGTCGGCCAGCATTTCTACGTCCTCTGCAGCGTTGCTAGCGGTGCTAGGCGCCGGTGTGATGGACATGGCTCGCATGCCACCTCTGACTTGCTCGAAGATTCCAGCTGCAGCTGTTGCTTCCTCGCGCTGATTTGCTTTGTCGATAGCAATGTTGGTCCGCGTTTGCAACTCGGCTTCGCTGAGCTGGGTGATTTTTGCAGACGCGTCAAGTTTGGCCTTTCGAGGTGAGCGCGATACGCTTGCTCCTTGAGTCTTTAACGTGACGATCTTGGACTTCTGAGACGCAGGCGTCGGTGTAGATGGTGTCGTCGGCTGAGGCTTTCTGGTGGGCATACGCGGTGGGGTAGTCGGTAATGCCACATCAGCTTGGTTGTTGACCTTGGGTTTCGATTTCTGCAAGCTCGTGAAGCCAAAGCCATTTTTTCCCTTGTTGTACACACCTTTTGAGGCAAGAGCTGGTGGTAGTGGTGGAGGAAGTTTAGCCTTCTTGGTCGCCGGCCTAGATGTCTGCTTCTTTATAGGCTCAGGAGCATCGTCCATCATGACAGGGGAACTAGGCTCCTCATCATCAGACGGCGGGGCATAGTCACTCTCCTCATCGCTGCTGAGATCCACCACCTTCCGCTTGCCTCTGCCTGAACGGGAAGAGAAAGAAGTATGCGATACGACTGACGCATCGCGTTGACTTTGCGAAATACTCGAGGCGCGATTAGTAGGAGTAGAGGTAGATACCTGCGACCCAGCCCGAACACCCCTAGCAACCGCAACACTGTCTTTGGTGGCACTGGCTGGAAGGAACGGCCTTCTGAAGCTGGGCGTCTTAGGAGTGGTAGGGGTAAGTGGCTCTTCGGTTGGGGTGCGAGGGCTCTCTTGAGTGGATACGAGACCAGTATCTTGAGGTGATGGAAGCATGTTTGGAGTGTGCTGCTGTGGTCTTGTTGGAGCTATGTATACGTTAGTTCAGTCACTACAAGATCGAAGACAGCAAGCTTACTACGCGGAGCTTCATGCATCATCGTGTCCATACCATTCGAAACCGAATTACGAAGGTCGCTCTCCAAGTTTTTGGTTGCATAATTCGGGACAGAATCAGGACCGAATCTGTCTCTACGCCCAAGGTCTTGTGAAGACTCGATTGAGCCATGCAAATAGTAAGCATGGCCTTCCTTTCGCAAATATCCGTGGTCGTCTCGAGGAAGGCCATGGAAAGCTGATTCCCGGAACATCGATGACTGGCCTGATTGGTACCCTACACTTTGTTGCGATTGAAACTTGTCTGGCTGGTGGGCTTGAGAGAGTCTCGAAGAAGCGAAACCGCTCGTCGATTGTAGGCCTTGTGAGGCAGAGATTGTGGGGGTAGCCCACGGAGAGGAAGCCGACAATGGTCTACCTCCACGATTGAATGCTGTTCCTTGACGGGCATCTGGCATGCGAGGAACGTTCGCCCAGTTGCCAAAACCCACGCCCCCGACCAGGTTCGGTTGTGTACTGAGGACAGCTGCCGGTGCATGCTGAGAGGCGACGGAGTTCGAGACGTGCATACCGGGAGTGTTACTGTTACTTGTACATAGCGCGGGCGGTTGTATAAGTGGGTGTCGGGGTTGCTGAGTAAAGATACTGTGTTCAGGCTTCAAATGTTCTGGCTCCGACGTATTCTATATAAGTTAGTCTTAGGACAAGAATGTTTTTAGGATTTGCCGACTTACCGCATTTCCGATCTTGCCAGACAAGCCGGGAGGGTCTTTCGCGATAGGCTTTTGCTCAGCTATCTGTAAAGCAGGTTTCTCCTTGAGTAATACTGGTTCATCGTCATCCTCGTCAGAACAAAGATCAATGATTGTGACAGCGGCTTTCTTGTTCCTGGGTCCTGCTAGCGGTGTGGTTGTGTTGCTCGCTGGCTTGGATATGGACGGCGCTTTGGCTCTGGGCGCCGGCGTCTTCTTGATGGTGGGAGCAGCTCTCGGTGGTGCAACAGCTACCCGACGGTTTGCTTGACTCTGGATACCCGTCTTAGACCCGACAGCCATGGTGCCAACCTTCTTCTTCTCCTTATCTGCTGCCGCCTTGGCATTGCTCCAGAACTCTTCCTCTTCTTTCTGGTGTTTTGCGAGAATAATTGCTCGCTCCTTGTTGACGTTGTCTTGAAATTTGGCAAAAGACTCCGTCGCATACCGTTGGAAGCCCTTAAGTTCAGCTTCGTGCTTTTGTCGGAAAGTGAGCCACTGTTTGTCTGCAGCACTGACCTCGGGGGGTTTCGATGCCATGCTAAGAGTCGCAACGCGCTGAAGTCAAGGCAAAGATATTAAATACTGTGAGGTAAGAGATTTCGTTGCGAGCGGGAGAAGGTGGGTAGATGGAGTGGTGATATACCAGCTTGGACAAGGTGAAGGTGAGTGAGAGATCTGCGCGATAACAAACGGGACCAAGGTAAAGGCGCAACTCATGGTGACCACAGTTTTGAGGATGCGTAAGTAAGGTAAGACCTCTATGTTCATGGCTTAGGCTTGCAGGTAGGGTACCTTGAATAATAGGTAAACGGAACGCCGAGACGCAAACGACGAGTATCCACTTTTGACCTAGCAGCTGTTTGTGACCTAGGATGCTATATAGAGAGGAATTGGCTGCGCGCAAGCCCAATGCAATATATTAGTCCAGTACAGTGCTTATCAAAAGATGCGTGCGCGACAGAGACTCCATCGCATCGACTCTCAGGATATTGAGCCTCCTGTTCCCAATTATCATAACCCATACAAAGCGCGAGGTCGACTTCGGCTAGGTCTAATAGCCTCGCGGGCATGAGTAGCCATACACCTGCTCAGTGCAAAGGCTCGCAACTAGCTCGAAGGCTCTCGTTGCTGCCTTCCTTGTCTCAGATTTGCGTCGCTGCGAGGTGGAAGTGAGACGTTTCAGCAGTTATGTTGCCGATACTCTCCAATCAGATGGCAATAATCCAGACTGCTCTTGTGCCATTCACCGTGCACCCGGGTATGAAATGGGTCCTCGACCCGTGGTCGTCTCCATTCTTGAATCGGTGATTCCGTGATGATTTCTCTCCCTTCATAGATATTTCTTCGCGGCAGTCGCGACCCTCTGCCTAAACACCGGGCTCTTGATGACTTCGCCATTGCCGACAGCAAAGAAGGGATTCATGATAGTCTTGACCCATGCCTCGTATACGTCGACCATGAAGTTCTTGACAGCTTCTTCCGTGGCTGGACTGCTGGGGTTGTATAGGCCAGCACCTCCTCCCAGAGCAGCTCTTCCACCTGCTAGACTTCCTCTCGCGCCTCCAGCACCTCCACTCGTCAGCCCCAGACTTTCGTCGCGTGGTCTTGTGAGTAGAAGGAAGCGTGTGTTGCCGCCGGTGATCCAGCACGACACGAAGCAGTTCTGGTATTTGTCGATGTGCTTAAGGTACATGGGCGCGGAGCCACTGGATGTAGAAGGGCCCCATTGTACTTCTTCGACTATATCGAGGGACGAATGCAGGATGAAGGGGACGAGGGCGCGCTCGGCGGGGGTATAGTTCGCGACACCGGTGCCGCCGCTCCGTGAGGTACCGAAGTCGTGTGTGAATAGGGGGACATCGAGAGGCGATAGGATGGAGAATGTGTACGACATGGCGAGGTATGGGGAAGTCGGTCGGTATACGTGTGGAGTGTTTGGTGTGCGCCGTGCGGCTCAGGCGAGGATGCGTGATATAGCCCAGTACAGTCTTTCCACTCTTACTGATGTCGGAAATAACTGCGTCGTAATTCGTAATTCGTATCGTCGTAAGTGTAGCTTGGTGTTTAGCTGTGCAACGTGTGGGGTGTGTCGATGAGCTTCCCCACGCTAATCGGCATGTCTGCCAAGAAAGTCCGCGGGAGTGCCTTTCGAAGAATATCGCGACGTCGATTGCGCAGCCTAGCATCGCCAACCCCAGCACCTCACCATGTTCGGTCCATTCCGCCTCACAAACCCGCTATCGGGTGGTCTATTATGGTGCGACTCCCTGCGTTTCCCGAACTGTCACCCGCGCGCAATTGCTCGTCGTCGCCATCACATTTCCCGTTCCGATGCACCTTCTATCAGTTGCGACTCGATATCTGGCAGGCCGTGCTGACAAAACTATAGGAAGATACCATGGCGGCTATCCAGACATCAGAAGTACAGGCAGCGCGAGCGCCTACGGCACGTTGACACTGTGGTCGGCACAATCGATACCGCACTACGACGCATGGGACAGAGCATGAAGAAGGTGGAGCGCTGGAAGATGGAGATGCCGACCGAGGCAGAGATGCTTCCCAAGGACAAATACACCGTCTTCGACCGTAAGGTGAAGAGGTATCGAAAGGGAATACACAGTAAGTTGCATGCTTCTAGTATCTTGGGACAAAGCTTGGTGGCGGCAGAGGGAGAACTAAAAGCATCTGCGGTGGAGTACATCCTGAATTTGCGGTCGCTGACAGTTCACAGAGGTGCCAAAATGGACGAGAGTCAGTCAACGACTCAACCCTCCGGGTTTCTAGACGGTCCCTACCGGGAACGACGGTCGCACGTGTGTATACCATGTATTACTGTACAATTTGCATCAGATACGGCGCTATGGGAAAAGAGCAATACAACATCTCAAATCTGCACTGGGCTCTTTCGTTTCCTGAGTGCAAACATCAATCTGCATCGTTAGCGAGTTCGGCATCCCCTTGCATACAGATCGGCCATGCACACTATCGCAGAAGCTCGTCAATTCTTCCGTGCTCTACCACTTTCTAGGATATTCTTGTTCCAAATAGTCACCAACTATGTCAACGTTACCTAAATTATACACTCTGACCGCAGTAGAAATACTGGACTTGCTCAAAGCCAATACCATCACAGTTGAGACCTATGCGCAATCTGTTCTTGGCCACATCCGCGACCGGGACCATATTGTCAAGGCATGGGCCCATCTCGGTGAGTCTTGCTCTGCGCATATAAAGCACTTCACCTGAGCAAACGCCAGATCAAGAGCTTGTTCTACGCCGAACTCGAGAACTTGATCATGTGCCACAAAATCAGAGAGGACCGCTGCATGGAGTGACGATAGGTATCAAAGACGTGATGAACACGAAAGGTCATAAGGCAAAGTCTTTTGCATGCTAGATGTTGACAAGTTTCAGACATGCCCACCCAGTATGGCTCACCGATATACAAAGGACATCAATCTGGCTTCGACTCATCGGCTGTTGCGATTCTGCGAGCTGCAGGAGCCTTAATATTCGGCTAGTCAATCCACCTTTCTAATAAATTATGTCTGACGTCTCCCACAGGCAAGACAACGACGACTGAGTTCACCATCACCAACTCAGGGCCTCCGACCACCAATCCCCACGATCCATCTCGAACCCCAGGCGGCTCCTCAAGCGGCTCCGCCGCCGCCGTAGCCGATATGCAGATTCCGCTTGCCTTGGGCATACAAACAGGCGGAAGCGTCATTCGACCAGCAGCCTACTGTGGAACATTTGCCATGAAACCTACGTACAACGCCATCTCAACCTTGGGGCAAAAGATTGTTTCTTCTACATTCGATACCATCGGCTTCTTCGCTCGCAGCATCGAAGATCTGCAGTTACTAGCAGATGTCTTTTCCCTCTGTGACGACCAGAGCCCGGGAAAGGTATACTTGGATGATATCTCAGTCGCTCTTGTCAAAACACCCATGTGGTCACATGCCGGCCCTGGTACTATACATGCCATGCAGAAAACAGCCGCCATCCTGCAAAACCACGGTGTAAGAGTGGAAGAGATGTCACTACCGGATGACTTTGGCAACGCAGACACTTTAACGCGCTTACAAAACGCAATCATCGACAATGAGACCGCACTCGCTTTCCGCGAAGAATACCGTTCGCACAAGGGTGATTTGAACGTCTCGATCCAGAGTTTAGTAGAAAACCACTCCGAGCACACTGATAAAGAGAAAAAGATGGCACTGGATAAACTCGCTCATCTGCGTACGCTGTTCGACACGATAGCGACCAAGTATTCCGTCATCATCGCGCCGAGTGCTGTGAATGAGGCGCCGGTGGGACTTGGGGATATGGGAAGTCCGGTGTTCAATACGATGTGGACGGTAAGTTGACATGTCACAGGTGGTAGATATAAACGAGTTTGACTTTAATCCAGGGTCTGCATGTGCCAGTGGTACATACACCTGCTTTTATGGGAATGAATGGCATGCCTGCCGGTGTTTCTATCGCTGCGGGAAGAGGGCGCGACGGGCATCTCCTTCGGATCAGTAGAGTTCTTGGAGAGGTTCTTATGGCTGAGGGAGGGTGGCAGCCGAGGGCTTCGTATCTTCATGCGTGCTAGAAGGGAATTTGTACAACGGCGGAGTGGCTTCACATCATGCGTAGTTGACCACGAGGTTAGTCGATGGACCAATTGACAGAAGACCAAGTTCACAAGGCAGGAGTGTAGATGAATGTAACAAGGATGAGCAGCGTGAGATTCATGCTAACTGGCTATCTGGCTAGCCCGCTGACAAAACGACTGACATGTCTTCTAATCCACCCAGTGAAAGCAAATGCATAATGAAAAGGATATGCAGCAACTCCACTCTTACACGCAAAACAACACAACACCAACCGACGACCCCGCGAAACTAAGCAGTCTGCGTACCCACATCAACACCCTCAACGCCCACCGTAGGAGTAGCAGCAGACGCAGGCTGAACGGGCGCTTTCCTCTCCCCAAAGTTGTGCAACCTCTCTCCTATAAGATAAACCTCATCCCTAACGACCAACCTCCATCTCACAAGGAGCCTGACAACCGCCGAGGATGCCCACATAACCACCAAAGCAAGTCCCACAGCCGGGAAGCTGAAGCGCCAGAGTAAATTCTTTGTTGCTTCGTTTGCATTCCGGTATAGCGTTCGACTCGTGACAAACGCCAGACTGGATGGAACGGCAATAGCGACGAGGAAGAGCGCGAGCACGGGGATGAGGAAACAGCGTGTCGCGATCTTGGCGTTGGGGTAGAGCCAGCCATCTCTGATGACAGCTTTGAACGCACGTGCGGGCCGGGAATTGCGGTTCGCGAAGACGAGGCGTGCGGCGAGACGAGAGTACAAGAAGCCGAGGGTCCAGTCTTGGATGACGTGGACGACGTGGGGTTCCTTGGGGCCAAGGTAGGCGTGCAGGGGCATGAGGAAGTAGAGTTCTAGAAGGACGGCGAAGAGAAAAGGTATGGCGAAGATGAGGGTTGCCCAAACGTATGAGAAGCGGAGGGCGCGGCCACCGACGCGCGAGGTGGTTGCTGCGATGGTGTGGAGTGTGGACATGGGATCTGGGATGGAGCGATTGAGCGACGAGATGAACTTGAAGGCGTGGTAGGCGGAGTAGCCGATGCTGGCGAGCGTGTAGACGCCGAGGGAGAAGGCATGGATGTCGTTCATCTCGACGGTTGGCGGGAGGAAGAGTGAGAAGAGATAGCGGCCGAAGAGTAGTGGTAGGATCGTTACGCTTACTCCCGATAGACCCATGAAGATCCATATCGTGACGATGAAGCAGAGAATGCGCACGCGGAACCATGGTGGGATGAATACCATCGACACGAGATCAGAGTTGTGCACTCCGCCCTCATTCTCTCCATCTTTGCGAACGTTGTCGCGGTCGACTTCGACGAAGACAGGTTGGCCCTTGGGAATGCGAGCTTGATCGGAAGCAGGTGCACGAACGTATCGGCCATCATCGCCTTCTTGCGCAGGGACCTTGTCGCCAAAGAGAAAGTTGGAAAGGCGGAGGAATCCAGCGCACTTCTGGAAGCACCATTTGTAGATAGCATGCAGACCCTCGCTAGGCTTGTAGAACTTGATGATGACCGGCGTGAGGAAGTTGTAGAAGAGAAGGTCGAGCGGAAACTCCAGCGATGGTGCTTCGGTAGTCCAGTGAATTGGCAGGACGTTGGTAGTAGCACGACTCAAGGTCCATACGACACCGCCAAGGCATACAATAACGAGTGCTCCATACACAAGAGCGCTGAAGGCGATCTTGCGAAGTTGAGTCGTAACGCTACGCTCTAGGACGTCCCGAACAGGATGGAAGGTCGGATCATCTGGGTCGCGGATGAAGTACAGCACACCCTTGCGCATGATCTTGCGGCACATGGACACAAAGAGCGCGAAGTGGAACATGTAGCAGGTACCGATGAACCAATGCACGAATCCAGATGTCCATGGACTCTCTCTCGCGAACTGCCACCTGTTGTACAGCGTAGCGTTCTGGAATAGTGGAAGCATGGCCAAGTCGAGAAGCAGCCCGCAGTACAGCGGAAATGCCAACATCTCGATACTAATGATAAGGATCACCTTGAGCACACCTCCGGCTTGTTGTAGTATATCAGAAAGAATGCGTTCGATCCTTTGTCCTTGCTGTGACGAGCTGAAAGGTGTGCCGCGCCTGAGATATATCGCACCAAGAAAAGCGAAGAACCCATAGCCAGCCAGTATTGCGATTAGGCGGTCACTCGCCGTCCATCGCTCCAGTGCAGTGTATGCTGCAGCGGTGCTGCTGTTCGAGTCTAGATCAATGGTGATCTTGTACGATTTGGCCGTCCAAAGCCATGAGAGCAGAGAGCTGCACTGGCCGTAGGTCGTCGTAAAGATATCTTGAATCAACGAGGGAAGGCGTCCAAGGACCCTCAGCACAAGCTTGGGCGGCGAGTCTGCTGAAATTTCCTCGATGATGGCGTTTGCAAAGCTGCTCGTTTCATTGAGCGCAAATGAGGTCGTGTTCTGCAGGCTTCGTAGTGAAGCGTGTGCGTTAAGCGTGAATTGGGTGTAGCTGGGCTGAGACGATAATGGCGAGTCCATGAACATCTTGCCAATACGAACCATTGCACTCTCTGCAAGGGAGTATGCTGGCGTAGATACTGCACGGAGTGGACCATCTATGGTTTGAGACAGTTTCCCCAAGGAACACAGCTTGACCAGACTGGAGATGGCATAAGAACTCCAGTACGTCGTACCAGCTACGAGGAAGAGCGTGACGTCGACTATGAAGTCCGTTACTGCAGCGACCGCCTGTAGAGGGATTTTGAGGAGTTCGATAGGGCTTCCCACCATTATTATGACGAACTTACCCCAGAGATAAGGAACCCATACAGCGCACGCCAATGTGCAGGTGATCAGCACGGCACTGAACAGGGCGTTCTGGAAAAGACCGACAATAGGCCCTTGCATACCAATGAGCTCAAGTATACCTTCCAGGTCTTCAGCGTCTTCAATCGCTTCCTGGTCGTTGACATCTATGCCAGCTTGTGCAGCAGCAGCAGCAACTTCAGGATCTTGGGGCGCAGCATTGCCATGATCCCGCGGCTCGTTCCCCAAGAAGGGCACAAAAGGCGCTTCGTCTGCAAGATCGCGCACGATATGCTCATCGTTGCCTCCCTCTTCGACAGGTTGAGCCATCGGGGCTATGTCTCCAAACATCCAGTCCAATACTTGGTTCACTGGATTTTGTGGAGGTTGAGGCGCTGCTGGTTGTGCGTTGGCTGGAACCGCAGGCTGGTCGTCCGGGTGTTGCTGACCCACTTCAGAATGCTCCTGTTCTTCGCGGGTGGTTGAGTCTTGGTCAGGTTGGCTACTGCTGTTGTCGACTTCAATGGTAGTATCGACCGTAATTGAGTTGTCTAGATGAGTGGAACTGCTTTGTGCAGAAGACGTTGACTCGGGTAGATTATCCTCCACACTGGCGTCGACAGCCTTAGCTTTACCCTTGTCGTGAACATGTTCTCCTTCCAGCGCTTGGTCGGAGTCATCTTCTACAGCCTCAGGGACTTGCTGCCAGCTTCCACTGCTGTGCTCGCTACCCGGTTCGTGGTCCGATGCAGCCTCGGGTCCTTGATCGGCTCTTCGGTCTGCGTTGTCGTCGTCTTCCCACGATTCGGGTACGTTTTCAGCACTTTCCTCGTTGGAAGCTGACGATTGTGGTACGTTCTCGAAAGACCATGTATTACCCTCTTCTAGGCCGCGACGGATTTCTGTCGCGATGAAGGATCTATCGCGTGCTGGCATGTTTGGTCTGTGCGAAGATGAAGACGATTCGGAACCTTCAAGATCTGGCGCTACGCCTGAAGGTTGGTGGAGTGACGAGGTTCTTGCAGGAAAGCTTGAGCTGCTAGCCTCGCCGTCTTCCATCATTGCTCGCTCAATAGCCTCGTTAAAGCTCTGGGATGGAAATCCATCGTCATAGGCATCCACAAGATCATCCGATTGCATCATCGACCTCAAATCACCGGAGAGGCCTTCGCGTACTATGTTGCGAACAAGCTCGTCGCGTTCTCGGCGGAGCGAAGAAGACCGGCGAACGCGGCGTATCGTAGGTTCAGCAGCCTCGGGCTCATCATTCTCGCGAGTGAAGTCTCCAGGGGCAATTGGCTCGTTTTGGTCAGTATTTTCAGGCTCATGAGCTTCTTCCGCATCCGCAGCCTCCCCAGCCACTTCAGCATCCAAAGCATCTAAAGCGTCTTCCAGCTCGCCCTCATCAACGACCACGTTGTCAACGAGAGCCTCCTCTTCTATGATGGCAGCCCTCTGCGCAGCAACGTTGTCACCGAGGGCAACCATATTGATGACAGGTTGTTGCTGGACCACCCACTCCCTGATCAAGAAGACAAGGATAAACGCCACAACAACGAGTAGAGTGATGATCTGCCCCTCTATCACGTCAACAATAAAGCGATTGGCGCTTTGAGACTGGAACCAGTTGAAGAAGGGGACATCGGAGAGTAGCGACGGACTACGAATACCGAGGTGGTCCGAGGTAGTATTGGAAACGGTGCCGTTCTTGTCAACGACAGATACATGAGTAGTTATTCTGTCGGCTTGTGCAAGCTGGGAAAAGGGGAATGGGACCCCGAAGAAGACTCGTTTGGCATAGGTCCAGAGGATGGATTCGCTAGTCGTGGAATTGTTTGGAGTATATGTTATCTTCATGGGCCCGACGGTACTTGCCACATGCACAGTCGAGTTGCTGCTCTTGGCGGTATCGAGTGCGGAGCGTATCAAGTCGATATCGCTAGGGGCCAGTCCTCTACCAGTCGCGGGCATTACTGACGTCTCAGGTGTGTCGGCAAACATGTCTTGTGACCAGCCACCATCGCCG